TTTTGTTGGCAGTTCCACCATTGTCCTAATTCTCTGGAAATAGAACCTTGGAATTGTTTCTTCTCATCATTTTCCTTCATTCAGTGTAGCCTATCACCATGTTCCATGGATTTTTCCATTTTGAAATGTTGTTTATATCCATATATATTTGTTAGGACATTAGTTTGGCAGTTATAACAAAGTCTCCTCAAAAACAATGGATGAAATACAATGTAAGTTTAACTCTGTCTTATGTGAAGTTTAGGTAGGTGGTATAGGGCTGGTTTAGTGCCTCCTTCCATATTGTTTTGTCATCCTCAAAGAATTGTCTTTGTCCGCCTCATGGCAAATGACTCACTACCACAGATACAGTCCAGTTTTCAGAAAGGGGAAAAGAAGAGAGAGAGACCATAATCCCCTCTCTTTCAGGCTGTAACTTGGAAGTGTACTACATCACTTCTGCTTATAGCTCATGGGTAATGACAAAATTTACTTGCACGACTATACCTAGTAGCGTACAGGGTTTGGTAATGTCTTTAGCTATGTACCTAGTTGGACTTTGTATTTCTATAGCGAAAGAGGAGAGGAGCTATTGGCAGCCAACCAGCAGTATTTGCCACTTTCCTTACTCCAGTTTTACTATCATTACCCTTCTGTGGGTTCCTATTGTCCATTGCCAAGATTACTTCTACAGACTGTTAGCTGAATTTTCTGTTTGCTTGCTGTCAAGCCACCCATTCTTTCTTTTAAATAATCACTTTGTTTTTTGTTTGTTTAAAACTTGTTAAACCTTTGCTCAATGGCCCACAGCATAAAGTCTCATTCAAAGCCCTTTATAATCTGATCCTACTCTGTTTTCAGCCTTTTCTCAATTTCCATTCTTTCATAAATTTATTCATTCAGTAAATATGTATTGAGCACCTCCTATATGTCAGACACAGTGTCATTTGTCCTCCTAAGTTAGTTCATTTGGGCTCTGTGGATAGAAAATATTCTCATAAATGCACATTCTCTCTAATATCACCATATTTCATCACTTTGATGGTTGTTTTCGCCATTATAATGCTTGAGAAGTTCAATATGTCTTCTTAAGAACAGCCTTTTAAAACTAGGTCTTACAGTTGAAGTGGTTAATTTGCTTTACAGAGTCACATTATGTTCACCTGACACATTTCAACTTTCAGGTTTTTATAAATTTTAGAAATATGACTTGCTTTTAAAAACAAAACAAAAATGGAGAAGAATACTTATTGAAGCAGCTATAACTAGATTTAGTAGCTCGCTGACATTGTAAAATAGTTCAAATGCAAGCACAGACTAAGTATTATAGTTGTCTAGTTGCTTATTTGTTCCCATGCAACTTAACCTAATCCCCAGGCCTACAGACTAAAGTGTAAAGGTCTTTATAGCAGAACACATCTTTGACGGGACTTTGTCCTTCAAACTACATTTCCTTCTCCTTCTACAATCCTAGGTTATTATGAAGCAGAAATTTACATAATATTATTAATCTGACATAATTTTTGTATTTGCACTTATTTTTCAGAGAAGTTGCTGGACCAGATGAGATACGTGAGGCTGAGTTACACAAATTCGGGATTAAATCCATATTAAATTTTGATATTTTGTTCATCATCGTTTTCTTGTAAAAATTTTGATTTTTAAAACATATTGCATTAAAATATTATTTATCTTGATTTCTGAGCTTTTGAGCACCCCTTGAAATTTTGCGTTTGAGGCTCAGTGGATTCTTCTTCTTTATGCATATTATTTGCATATTGCCCTGGCTGGCTGCTTGAGTAATTACAACTTTTAAGTTAGAAAATATGTATTTGGAGGAGAAAATAAGTATTTATTATTTTGCCAAACCTTAGAAGAAAAAACTTGCTTTAAATTCTAACTGCTCGTGGTTTAAGTATTTACCTTTACAACTGAGATCACCTTGGGATATACAAAGAAACCAGTCCCCGAAAACAAGGCAGGGGCACCAAAAGGGAAGTTGGACAAGTGCCCAGGATTAATACTTTTAGCTACTTTATTAAATTCTATCTTGAAATGGCTTTTCTCATTACATCTCCAGACTGGTAGCCTCATCTCTAAAATGTCAGTGTGGCCATGTAGTTTTCAAACTGCTGTATACCCCCGAAGGGGAAAGAAGTGGGGCAGGCTAGGGAGGAGAGTAGATAGAGCTTCAAACATTGAAGTCTGAGGTACCTGGAGCAGTTCAGCTTGTATCCATCTTATATAATGGTCTTCTGCTAAGGTGTTCATTTGCAAAGAAAATATTTCATAACCAAAAAAAACTTTGAAAATTACTGAACTCAATGATATTCAAGATCTCTGCTAACTCAAAATTCTAAGTGTGTATTTGTTTCCAGTGTGATGCATTTGTGCTGATTCACTCACGCCTTGATCCACACTCCCCTGGCAAGAGGTGCAATATATCTTGGAAAGGCTACTGGCTTTTTTGCTTTTGATATCTCTTAGCTGCCATAAATATCATCATGTTTTCTCTGGATTTAATTGTAGTTCCAGGAGAGACAATGCAGAGAGAATTAGACTTCATGTGATAGCAACATCTTGCAAGTTGTGCATCCTATATTGAAGTTCAGAAAGAATATATTATTAAAACATCTAGTTATATTTATTTTTATTTTATTTTTAATTTCTGTTAATGTATTTAACACATATAACAATTATAAGTTAACAGATAAGTTATATTAATCTATTAGTATAGTAATACTTTTAATTTATGGAAATAAATATGTATGGGAGATGTGTACACACAAAATTTTTATTTGACATTGTTAGGGGCATACCACTGTTCTTGAAATTTTTTCAAGAATTACTTTACTTTTGTTCATGAAATATTTGATAATTGGTAACTTAAAGGATGAGTAGAGATTCTCTCAGTCTCTTAGCCTTTAGTGTATTCATGTTAAGCATCTAAATTTTGACGTATATGAATAATCAAAAATGTAGTTGGAATACTATTTTCCAAGTCCATTGCATAAGTATATTTGAATGAAACACAAACTGCAAAGAAGTGGAGAGGGAAAAAGAACTATCTCACTCCTATTTTTTTATCTTTTTATTTGTTGGTTCTATTGCAATAGGCAGAGATAAGTCGATTTTCATAAAATAAAATTAAACTAAAATTTAATCATGAAAAGGACAAAATTATAGGGATTTTTAAAACATGTATTTTACAGATGCAAATAGCAATGTTCAGTTTTATCTAATGGACTTTAAACTGAATTCCTATTTGTAGTTTCTACTAGATCTTTGTTAAGAGCTATGTGCAAATGATTGAAAAAATTAGGGCTACAAATCTTTGTTTTCTTAATCTTGTTTTTTAGGGGTGCATATTTGCATTATATAAATTTTGAAGTTTATAAATTTTTATTTTATTACCACTTCCCATATTTTTCTCTTCCTCTTCTCAGTTCCTTATATTTGGTCTGCACATATAGGACTCAATTAAAGAGAACAGCAAAAACCATATGAGAAGCTGGGTATGGAAACGAGGTTAAGATATGTCTGCTTTTGATTTTTAAATTCTTCCAAGGTGATAAAATATGCACTCAGGTAGCTCTAAGTCTGAAAAGCACCTCGTGCACCTTGACATTCAACAGATATTTATTGCATTCCTCCTACCATCTGTGAAACACAGTAGTAGGGACAAGGCAAATGAGTCACAGTCCGTGACCTCAAAAGGCTTAAAAAAACTTGTTTGAGGTAGGAAGGCAGACACTAATCAGAAGTGTATAATGCATGTGATAAGTGCAATCAGAGAAATATACCAAAGTGTTTTAAAGCCCAGAGGAGGGAACCTATCTAGCCTGAGGGAAGCATAAAAGGTTTCTGAGAGAGGAATGCCCAAGTTGACCCAGAATGGATGAAGAGATGTTAGTTAGGCAATAGGGAGGGGAAGGAGGGCAGAGACCCTCAGCCACAGGGGTGAAATAAACAAGGCACAGGGGCTCCATGGGCAGGGTGTGACTGCAGAGCTTTAAGATTGTTACAGGGGAACATGGGTGAAAAGGAAGGAGGCAGCGTGGGGCTGGTTCTTGGAGGGCTCCATGTACCACGTGAAGGGATTTGGACTTGATCCTGTAGGTGATGGGAAAGCTGAGAAGGATTAATCATAGAATAATCATGAGCAGATTTTCTCTGGAATAATTCCACATGACATCTGTGTAAAGAATGGATTTGCAGGAAGTAAGAATGCATACAAGAAAATCATGTCGGTTGTTGTTGCCATAGTCCAGGAAGGGCAGACTGACTAGGGCAGTGCGAGTGTGGTAGAGGGAATTTGCAAAGTGCCTTATTGCTATGAGTGGATAATGAGAATTCTAATAGTTTATACTTCCATTATTTTTCTCCTTTCTTGTGTCAGGTGATAAGCCCTGAAATACAGAGTCTACTCTGTGAACAGGAATTATATGTACATAGTTTATTTTGAATTCTAGGAAGCAAGATGGTCAGATTCCTTCCATATAGTCTTCATGTGGGTACTGGGAATATTGGTACAATGCCTCAGAACACTTATGAAAGGTGCAAAATATTCTCTGCAGTAATGTTCTGAAAGTGTCATGTGTTTCTGCAATGTCCCAAAGGTGTAATCATGCCAAGTATTTTCTTACTGTTATTTGTCTGTGGCTACAAATGCTTGCCGTAATGATTGGTTGTTTTTACATGACGATTTTCTCAACTTGATATTGATCTCTAATAGCACCAATGCGGCAATTATCTACAGGATTTTGTAGCTGATAATCACAGGTACTGACACCTGTTATTTGAAATGAAGCCCTTTTAACTTTTAATAGATTTTTTATTGTTGTTGAATTAGAGGTTCTACTTTTCCTAAGAAAGTCCAGCAAGTCATGGTGTTTATTAGTTTTAATTTAGTTTTTTTTAAAGCCAAAATGATTAAAATTTGGTTAATTAACTGAATTGTCTCCTTTGCTGGTTCTTCATAGTTTGTCTTTTTTTTTTTAATTTGCAGGAAAGAAAGTTTTTCAGAGTTTCTTCCTGAACCTGTGTCAGAAATAACAGCGTATTTTAATCAGAAATTTGTAAGTATCCTTTTCTTCTTTATTTAGGAAATTAGATATTGATTTTGTGGAAGAAATGGTTCCTACTGTAAAACACTTGACAGGATATAGCTACACAGTCTGAGGTGGCGTGCAGAATTTGTATGAGAGTAAAACACACACAAAAATCTGCAACTCCTCAAACAACAAAACAAAGAAACCAAAACCTCAAACAAAAACCTTCATCAAGTCTATCTATAGCTAGAGAATATTTGGTTTATTCTTTGGCAATTTCTTTTTCTTGATGTCATTTTTTTTCTTTCTTTTTTGTGACAGAGTCTCACTCTGTTAACCTGAGTAGAGTGCCGTGACGTCAGCCTAGCTCACAGCAACCTCAAACTCCTGGGCTCAAGCAATCCTCCTGCCTCAGCCTCCTGAGTAGCTGGAACTACAGGTGTATACCACAATGCCCAGCTAATTTTTTCTATTTTTAGTAGAGATGGGGATCTCGCTCTTGCTCAGGCTGGTCTCGAACTTCTGAGCTCAAGCAATCCTCCTGCCTCGGCCTCCCAGAGTGCTGGGATTATAGGTGTGAGCCACTGCACCCAGCCTTGATGCCATTTTCATTATCTTTTTCCCCTTTTTGAAAATATCAGTGTGTCCACATATTTTAGAAAGTTTATAACATCAATGAGAAGGAGGGGGAAAATAGTAGACCATGAACACAGGAGAGGAAATAATTTGTATTCTGTTAAAAGTTATATGACTTTTCCATGAACACTTTCAGTGAAGTTTTTTAAAAGTCAAATCTAGGTCTCAAAATAGCCAAGGTCCATTCAGTTCTTTATGAAATGCTTACTATTGTGCTATACCCAAAACAGGTCTACTCAGTAATGGGGAATCTGAGAGACCTTTCCTATTTCAATTTACCAAGAATTCAAGACAAGCATACGTTTTCACAAACAGATGTTTTATTAGATGAATTTAGAGAAATCAGTGACAGGCAAAAAAAAAACCAAAAACAACTTTGCCCTAAAAATGTATCTGTAGTGATAGCATTTTCTATTTTATTCTTCCCTGAAAGAAAACTTCAAGTCTAATGAAGTTCTATTATAGCACTAAAGCAAATAATCAACATGTTGAATTTAATAACACAGAGTCGAGGGCCCATGGTGTAAAGACAGATCAGTGAAGCAGTCATGTAACTAATGTCTGGATCTGAGTGTGCTTCTCATGAGCTGCGTAAGACCTGGGACAGCATAATTCTGGCTTCTCAATGGTAAATATTTGTTTAAAGGTTGTTGACTAGAAATGATGACTACCTTAGATCATTTTATGATTCCAGGAAATCCCTGAAACATTGCTGCTCAGTAGCTAATAGTCATTTTATCTTGGTTAAACTATGGTTATTATAATGACATTAACATTTATATAGTAGCTAATAAAACCAACCAACAGGAACTGAGACATATTTCTAACTTGCTTCATCAGATAAAATCTCAGCAAATTGTTTAATTAAAAGGTGTACTAAAAGCTCAATTACACATTCTCTAGCAATATAGGCTGTTTACTAGCTATGTGGCATTAGTTTTCAGTTCCAAAGCATACATTTGTTAATCTTGTGATTTGAGGCAAGTCACCTGAACTATCTAATTCTTCAGTTTGTCAGTAAAACAAGGATAACAACGCTTATATCACAGACTTGTTATGGGGATTAAAGGAAATGATGACACAATATAAGCAATGGTAATGAAATAATCCTATACTGCAGTTACGAGTTCTTATCCTTACTATATTGTTTTGTAAACCTTGAGGTTTTTTATCCATGTAAAGATTTCATTTGTCAACATATATAATCTATTTTATGGATGAAGTTGGCATTTATAATATCAATGAAAGAATGGTTAACCTGTAGATTTTTGGCCACACTCCCAGCTAGTTTTAACAAGCATCTTAGATAACTCACATGAAAGTAATTCACAGGCTACCCTTTGAGAAACACGAATTTTCCTTTAAAAAATTAGTAGATTATCAAAATCAAAGGGGAACTTTGTAAAAACATATATATATATATTCCTAGGGCCCTACCTTGGAGATTATGATTTGGCAGCAGATCTGGAGCAAAGCTTTGGAACTTTTGTTTTCAAAAAATTGCCTCACTGATTTTGACATCTGCAAGCTACTGCTTTACAGCCTCACTGTGTCTCTAGCTTTTTATTGATGAAGCTTTTGGCTGTGCTTACCATATGTGGATGAGAGGCCAATTATGAATGTGTGCTTCAGCTAGTCCAGTTCAAGCTACAGGAGTAAAAGGGGTGAATTTGGATGTCTGCACTGTATGCAGTAATGAGACTGACAGTCTTCTCACCCTTGCTTATGTGGCACCTTTAAGTAAATCCATGTATCGAGCCCATAAATTGCAGATTTCCTGAACCAGAATGAACTGACCCAGACCATCTAGTCTAAACCTTTTATTTCACAGAGGAAGAAAGTAGGCTCAGAGATTTGCTTAAGGCCCCAGGACAAGACCAGGGCTAGCAATTGGGTTCTGCCCCAAACTCAGTGCCATTTCCATCACAATTGACTGACTGCCATTTCAGGAACCTGTAACACCAGTGAAACCAGCTTCTCTAGCACCGATTTTGGGCTTCCCAAGCAGGCACAGAAAGTGTTCTTTGAGTCAGCTTTCTGACCTAACTGTCCGGGCATCTGAAAGTAAGAGTGTCTTCCTCCCTTACTCCAGTTTCAGTCTTGAATAGCAGGAGGCAGAAAGGTCACTGGGGACTGCCAGTACTCACCTGGAGAGGACGCCTGTTCCCGCAGTGGCACCATCTTCTCCATTGCCTTCTGGATTCTTTACGTTGGCCAGAGCCAGGCCTTTCCTTAAACTCCCTGTCTCAAAGTGGCAGAGCCATCATCATTTTAGTCAGTCTTCTTATGCTCGCATCCTTTTTTTCTTGGCATTTCTTTAATTGCCCTTATTTGGACACTTTTCAGCTCTGGAATGCCATTAAGTCCAAGAAATATTAAGTACTACCCTGTCCCAAGGACAGTCCTAGGTACTAGAGATGAAAAGGGGATTCAGTATGGTCCTAGTTTCAGAAGAATTCACAACATCATGAGGAAGGAGACTGGTATAAAAGTGTTATGGGAACATTTCTGAGTGCCACAAGCACAGGACCACAGCTTCCACTTTCCAGGGGAGTCAAAGAAGCCTTTCGAGAGGAGATGAAACTGGTCTGTTTTAGGTGTAAAAAACCATAAACCACAGTATAAATGTGTAACACTTTGAAACCATGTGAAAAGAATGTTCCCAAGGCTTAATGAAGAGAACAAATCCAGTGGAAATTAATAAGGCAGGTATCAGCATCACAGAGGGGAGAGGGGCACAGCAACACATGGCAGGAAGGCCTGAGTCTTCTCCTCACATCAACACCTCCAACCTGTGTGACCCTAGGTACTCCAGTCAGATCTCGAGGCGTCATTTGACTCACTCCTTCAATTCATTCAAATAATGAAATCCATGTTATAGACAGTCCTATACATCCTTGGGAAACTGTCAAATGGAGGAACAGTGCATCCCAGACAAAATGCTATCTGAGCCAAGACCTTGACTTCGAGTGGCCGGAAGGAGAGGACTCCAGCCAGGAGGAGCTGCATACATCCCGTGGAGGTGAAAGGGAGCATGTCTGGGCTTTACATGTCTTGAATGGAGAGCAGTTTCTTTCAACTGCTGGACCAGAGGGGAGGGGAGGAGAAGCAAGAGATGAGTGTGGGAAGGAAGCAGAGTGTAGGTTATGAAGGCTGTTGTAAGTCATGTTAAGAAGTTAGGTGAGTTTTTCCTGGAGTAAGGGGGGTGACAGAAGAGCTGAGATGGTGAAATTTGTTTGACTAGTGTCAAGAATGGATGACAGGGCAACAAAACTGAGGCAGTACAGTTGGTGAGGAGGATAATTTAAGCCGAAGAGTCTGGTGATCTTAACCTGGGTAGTGAAAGAGAATGGGGGGTGGGGCATCCTCTCCAATAGATTGAAAATCTATTTAGAGACCAGAGTTTATGTGACTTGTTGGTCATGGAGAGTGAGGGAGAAGGATGGGTTTCTGACCTATGCAGCTGGGTGGATTATTACAGTGCTATTCACTGAGAAAGAAAATTCAGGAGGAGTAACAAGCTTCAAAAGGAAGATGAAGATCTCTAAGCCAAGGAGACAAGACCGGCTGACCTGTCGTGGGGCTCTTCGGTATTAAATGGCACTCTTCAGTATTGAATGGCACTCCAGATGATGAGACTATCACACACATTGTCACACTTGATCTTCTCAACTGTGGGAGGTATCATTATGTGAACTCCAAAGATGTGGAAGCCAAGGCTCAGAGAGCTAAGTGCCTTGCATACGGGCCCTTAGTTAAGAAACAGTGGATCCTAAAGTTCAGACCAGAGCTCTAAACCAGGTGTATTGCATCCCAAAGCACCTGTACCTTCTATTATATCACTCTGCTTTCCTTTTAGCTCTGACACATATAATTCTGTGAAAGTAGGTCAATTGTAGAACACAAATAATTTGAGACTTTACGGACTGTTAAATAGAACACATAAACTCTACCTTCTAAGTTGCCACCATGTCTCACTTGGAATGCTGCAACTGTCTCCAAACTCATCACTTGAATCAACTTTTCCTCTTTTTCAATCTATTCCATTTGCTACAGACAAAGTGACCTTTTTAAAATTTGATTCTGATTGTCATTCTATTGCTTAAAATCCTTCAATGACTTCCTGTGACTATTAGAACAGACCAAATTCTTAACATGTTTGAATGATGCGGCCCTTACTAACCCACCCACTTTATCATGAGTGGTTCTCACCCTGTGCTGTGGTCACACTGTTCTTCCTTTAACTCCTGGAATCTGTTGAGCTCTTCTGCATGAAATACTCTTTTTCTACCTCCATACCAGCTCTCTACTTTTCTTCCTTCATACCTCAGCTCCTACTGACAATGAGCGAGATCCTGATACATTCACATAACACCTTATAATTTTTCATC